TCATGAAAGCCAAGAAGGTTTTCCCGACAAAGCTACGATTACAGTTCGATCGACAGGGAGCTAAGAAGTAACATTTCTGCACACCAATAGGCATGGAACCAGTTAACTGTCGCTCAGGAATGGACCAAGGCACCACTAATATATAAACAGACGGCTGAAAGATGGAGACAGGAAGTTGGGCAGTCATATCCTGAGCTTGAATCGTACAAACTGCCCGACTACTGTACAGTAACGTCCAAGGAAGCAAGAGGAAAAGGCTATAAGGCTGCCGATCATAGAACAGCCCATCAAATATTTTTTGGACTACCAGACAGCAACAAAATCTATGCAGACCGCATGAAGAGGTAGGTAGAGGCAGCAGGTAGGCGATAGACAAACTAAATGCCGACAAAACGGTACACATCTACTCGATTTCCAGCCATTGGGACATTGCGAACTGAACAAAGCTCATCGAGACAAGCAGAAACCGCATTCAAATCTCTCCACATCAGCTAGGAACAAAGCGCCTTGAGGAACGTTGGTAGGCAATCGAAAAAAAATTCCAACTGTTAAATCTCTCAAACAATATGTAAGGGTATAGATGACAAAGTCACTCGTGCAACTCCAGAGAAAGGAATACAGACTCTTAACGGGCCTAATCACAGGTCACTGCTTAGTGGCTATCCATGACATCACAACAGAGGGCAGCTACAAGGAACCGGAAGCAATCGAAGCGCTGAAGCACCTCAAATACGACTGTCTAATAAAACAAACGGCGATAAAATAAATGTGTGCTTATTTCTATTCAACTATTTTGTGAACTAGTCAATGGCATTTCCTAATGTTAACTCCAGTGTGTTTCATGTCTATAAGGCCGAAATAAATGTTTAAATACATAGCTTATAGTTTCTTTACATATTTCGACTAAAAATAATAATGGTAGAATAGAAAATATATCTAAAACCATATCGGAGGAAGTCCGCAGCTCCTAGTCAGACAGAGCTCGACACTATCAGTTGCTCCCGATAATTTTATTTGTCAAATACAATCTGCCCCCAAAAACAAATAAGAGAACCACACCAAGCAAAAGCCATTGACACCAGCTACTTATTCTGTTTGTGCTTTTGTTTTTGTTTCGATTTGCAGAGGGTACGAATTAAATCGATGCGACGCTGACCTTTCCCTCAATTAGACGCGCACATACAGCTTGTCTACAGTGCCGGCCAAAATTAATGATCCAGCAGCGTGCTGGGCAAAAAACTAATGATGCTGCCTCTGGGCCAGGCTCTGCCCATTTCCATCCGCTCTCTATCGCCACTGGCGACTGGCCAAACGCATGTGAGCTAATTTATGATAGCCATGTGCTCATTACAACTGACCCTTTGGCCTGGCCTGGTCCACGGCGCATTTGCTTTTTGGGCTAATTTCTGCAATTTACTGCAAAAATATGGAAAATAAGCAAAATGCCCGATGCGTGGATATTCGCCGGCAGTCGAGCGGAAGTAACGAGCGGACTTTAAGTGCAAAGAACCAGACCATTAAAGCAATGCGATGAAGCATAAATTATTGTGGTCTGAGTCGCGAAATTCAATACTAAGTGCTGTTATCTGAAGCGCAGCAATTAACAAGATATTTACACTGAAACAACTCAGTTGTAAGCCAATTGGATTTGCCTAGTTCGAATCGAGCATAAGTCTCTAATCAGCTAGTGATACTTCTATTAATAGCAATTAACACCTGACGACAGCGTTTCCGTTTCCTTTTCCCCTTTTTTCAAGCAAGCTCTGCTATAGCGCGCTATTTTCTTGTTGTCCGTTGCTGGGACACACCGTTCTCCACTGAAACACAATTCTGACTAAGCAGTTATTAAATTCATCTAATAATACGTTTTGTTCTTCCATGTAAACAAAATACTTTGATTATTAATTGCGTAAGTCCCTGCTGAAAATTTACCCCAAAGAGTATAGAAAGCATTCCAAAAAAATTCCAAATTATGATAAATGCTTATTTTATTTGCCTTAACTTTAATGCAATCAAACCTGGGTTAGTTAATAAGACACTTTACATACACAACGAAAATCCTAAATTTTATTGAACAATCCTACACATTCAAATCCACACTTCCTCCCCTCTCTACCTACCTTCAAAGGATCACCCAACCGAAAAAAAGACACAGCAAGATGTCATTATACATAATCTCCCAAAATACTATATATGTATGTATATGTATAGTTTTTTTAGGAGACTAGACGACCAGCTTTTAACACCCAAACACGTCCCTCCCGAATAGCATTTTTCATTTAGTCTTTCTCACTTGTTTGCAAGCAAATGTAATTAACATAAAATTTGTTTCATAAATGGTATGAACTATGAACTATCTTTTAGTGTAATACCTAAAAGAAGCCTGGCAGCCGGACTGTTGGACAGTTGGACGAACAGCGACGACTCAGCGGTTACTTGACAATCATGGCAAGCGGAAATGCTCGGCAACCGCAGCAGGCTGTTCTGGTCGGATCTGCTTTGGGCTGGACGATGCAGCGGAAGTGCGCGCTGCTGTTGACAAGACTCAAGAGCAGCAACAGCTACGAAGCTCTGCCAAACCAAAGACACTCGTATAAGTGACCGCAATGGCAGGCAGCGGCACCAACATGGGTCGACGAGCCAAGGGCAGAGCAGGGAAAGAGGAGCCTGGTCAGCAGCACGGATGGTGGAGTAATATGCGTAATTAAACAAAACCGCAAGTGGGGCAACAACAGAGTAAGCCAAGGCACTGATGCACAGTTAAGAGGAGAGAGCGAACAAAAATATTCCACTGCAGCAACGGCAAAAAAAAAAAACACCGTTTAAATTAAATATTTGTTGTGTCAGCTCTGGCAAAGAGTTAAAAGGCAGCCCAGTGGGGTGGTGTGGAGTGGAGTGTCGACGTTGGATGCTGCCACATAAATGTGGAGCATGCAGATTGAAGTGTCTGTCAGTAATGGAAGTGTCGCTTGACGAACGGCTTGGTGCAAATTGTGAAGTATCTGTATGTTATGTTAAGCCTGGCATAAAAGGATGCTTAAAAAGTCCGCTTAACGCCAGAAGCATAAACGTACGGGCAAGATGGAACAAGATTATACAATCGTAGGTGGTCCACGCCGGTTCAAAAAAGTAGAGATTATTGGAGTCACTGTGAAGGGTTACAAACGAGCAGAAAATACAAGCTGAGTGGGTTGAACATGTATTTAAGAGAAAATCATCAACTTGTTTTTTAAAGAAATCAGCATTTATGTACATAAGAAAAAATGTACGCAGGGCAATCAAATAATAAATCGTGGCTTTCATATTTATTTTCATTTTATTTATTTCATATTTACTCTGTTAACACGCAACTCATAGCTCAACAAATAATATGAAGTAAAAAAAGATAAATAACGTAATTTCGCACTGTCTTATAAGCATTCATGGAGCTCAACTGTTTTCATACTGATACGAAAAATAACTGAAATAGAATACTGTATCTCGAACACCTGTCGAATATTATAAAATATATGAAAAAATATAAATTGCACCCAATAATATACCTATTAGACACGATGTTTGGTTAACTACATTAAATTATATTTAATAGATGCACTATATTTAATTAGAAACGTATTATAATTGTGTAGTATTGTGCTAACATCTCATTCCACCTGCAGGCCGAATGAAATGTAAATCAAATTTGGTTAGAATATGGCTTTAATACCGTTTGGTTAGTTAAGTTGAAGCGAAATTTCTAAATAACGTCCAAGACAATTAGTTATGAAAACGATATTCAAAAACAGTTGATAATTCTAGAAAGTACTTCAAAATCGTCAAGCCATAACTTGATGTGATTCAACGCTCCCTGGTATATGCGCACTAGGGACATCGAAAGAGACTTATGTGTCCCCAAGGTTGGCGATGTCATTCAAATGCCCGCAAGCAATTACGGGAAGCGACTCGGCAGTCACCCCAACGCACTAGCGAGGCGGCTCCTATCCAAACCCAAGAGGAGAAGACTGAAGAAGTGCCATCCAAAGGATCTCCCCACAAGATCCCTTGTATAAAATATATAATATATATCATAAAATATAATTTCATTTTTAATGTAAAACATTGTAAATATTGTATATACATAGATGTAAGTGCGTCCTATAGATGCTTACTATAGACAACTTTTGTATTCCCTAACTTTCAACTAGCTTCAGCTGCCATATTGGTAGTAGAAAACTAGTTTAATAAATTATATATACATTTTTTACAAAAAAAAAAAAAAAAAAAAAAAAAAAAAAAAAAAAAACATTGATGTGGAAATTAAAAAAGCAATTCTGTTGTAAACAATAAACAATATTCAATTTGATTATTATTGATTGTCACATATAATTTGGATTATATTATTATTATTATTATATAATATACAATAAATTCTCTCTATACTTATATGTACTATATTTCCTATTGCCTATTTTTCTAGAAAGGAAATTGATTGACTTTCATAACCAAGGAGCGCAGCTAAATATGCAACATTATACTTGCACCATTGATTTTCTATTAACAACGAATCACTTGAGCTGGAAAGCCAAATACTACAGCAAAATATTGATGAGTTCGTAACAATAGAAAAGACGAAAACAACAACAACAACAGAACAATATATGCATAAACTATCGTACCACGCGTAACACTAAAGAAGACGAGGCGAGGCGAGGCGTCAACGAACATAATAAAGAAAAAATATAAGTGTCCATGGAACAAAAATAAAAACAACAGAACGTAAGACCAGCCAAGTCATACGGTCCCACACCCCCATCCCCATTCCCATCCCCACCCCGGCCCCTCCATACTCTATAAAGTCAAGTGGGACATGTGTCTAGTAAAATAAAAGCGGCACCAGCGCCAGAGCCGAGCCAGGTCATGAAAACCTATGGCTAATTCAAAACAGACGCTTCTCAAATTAACGAGCCACGGCGAGAGGCTCGACCAGAAGCCGCCCACCAGAACACCTGCAGCTCACTCACCTGTTAGGATGGCCGAATTTAGCATAAATCCAATTAGCCACATCGCGGATGGTTTGATTTTGCGTCTCCTTTATTAAAAATGATTATTATTGGTTTATATGTGGAACCAGAGCCGCCGTCGCACACAAAAATTCAACGCGCGATTTTTAATGGAACGCACAAATTTGTGCTTTAAGTACACTCGATGCAATGAATACTTCCAGAGCCGTACAATTATTTAATTTACCTAATTTCTAAATATGCACTTCAATTGTTTTGGCTTAGTTATAGTGTTGCTGTTGCTTCTGTTATTACGAGTTTTTGTTGTTGTTTTTTTTTAACACACCACACACCGATCCAGAGTCACCGACCGACCCCGACCGACACGAAAACACCCGAAAAGTCCGATTTGGAGAAGAGAGAGAGCAAGGAGAAATGTGTATCGGAGAACTTGCGCGCACGAAGCTCACTTTATCACTGAACGAATTTGATTTTTTTAGCATCTTCGACTCATGTTGCCAAGCATGGGGTATCAAATGTTGCCAAAGCTATTGGCGGGGGCACACAATTCGAAAAGCAAACCAAGCTTTTTATGGCGGCGGGGTGTGCTATAACGCTTACTGTATAACAGTAACTTGGTAAATTGCCATAAATTATTGCACACATATAACAATATACTGAAACCATACAGTTTTGGGACACTTGGAAAAGCCCTTTCGTAAAAGCTGCCTGGTGCAGCTTTTATTTTGTGCAACATTGCCCCTGACTTGGAAACATGTTGGACATGCAAACAATTAAGCTAACCGTTACAAGTTAAACTAGCCTACGATTTTATGACCCTCCCACTGCTAGCCAAACGGCTTACGCAGCATTTAGGATATTTGACACCGTTTCGGTAATCTTATCACTACTGCACAGCTCAAGAGAAGAACAAGTCTAGAAGAATACCTTGAAAATCAGAAATGTATTGCAAACTAATGGTTTTTAGTAGTCAGCATCGTGGGTGGATTCTACTATCCTAAGTTACATTTATATTTCGTCATACAAATCTTTTTTAGATGACTTAAGAACATCTTAAACTAATCCCAGTTAATATCAGGCTATGGCAAGTCGAATTATCTGTTCTGGACCTTTACAGTTCCATCGGCCATGCCAAAATAACATTTATGTGCATTATCAACAAACAATCCAGTCTCCACAACGCCAGGAATCATCATTAGGGCACGGTTAACTTCGTCCCAATCAAATTCGCGTTTAGCCACAAAACGCCAATCCAACAGAAAGTTTCCACTATCAGTAATAATGGGGCCTGCCTTCGCTAAAGCCATACGTAACGTCGCCTCGCCACCAAAGAGCGCCTCAATTTTTAATTTAATCGGTACGTGAGCTATTGGTGTCACCTCGATTGGTATGCCCTTGCACCACTGCTCCCCCAGACGCAGCGAACGTTTTGTGTAGTCTGCAATGACGATCAGATGCTTGGCGCACGAAGCCACGATCTTCTCCTGCAAAAGGCAGCCGCCGCCGCCCTTGATGAGCACCATACGGCTATCCACCTCGTCGGCGCCATCGATTGCAATGTCGATAATCGGATTGCGGTCCAGGTCTCCCAAGTTCAGATTGTAATCCAAGATGAGTTGCCGTGCCTGAAAGGACGTGGGCACGCATATCAAGTCGCAAAGTGCACCTTCTTTCCAAACACGTTCCGCAATTCTCTGCACGGCAAATACTATAGTACTGCCGCTGCCAATACCCACAATCTAAACATGTACAAATAATTACATTAGATTTACATTTTATGGTTTTATGGCCACAACCTTTGTGTCTTCGGTTATCCACTCGTCTACAGCTGTCCGAGCTGCTAGTTTCTTTGCTTCGTCCAATGCAATTTTGTTTGTCTTGTCACCTTTGTCTCCCATGTTTTTATTGGTGGTTGAGCTTGCACGTCTGAAGGTTTTCGCCGTCACCAATTTATTTGCAATTGATACCAGGTGACTACTTGGGCGCGGCTGCAAGAAACCCCGTAAAACAAGCATGTAGCGTCTTAAATTTCAATGTGACCTTTTTGGCTTGGACCCGGCTTTGCAGTCAAACACATGCGCTTGGCAGTGTTGGAAAGCAAGCTAACTCGTTGATGTGGCCACACTTTATAAAAAGTGAAATTTATTTCAACTATTCTGGCAAGTTGATATTTATATTTAAAAAATTCGCTCTCGCCAATTTTATTTGAAATTTTTAGTTTAATGTTTAAAAGTATATTTATGAATTGGTTAAGCTTTGGCAATATTGGCGTTGCCACCTTTGATTAGCCTGCTGTTTATTTCTTTTTTGGACCACCAGTAAAACAAACTTTTCTTTAGAACTTAGGTTATTATTAAATGTCTTTAGTTTATTTTACACATTTAATACAGTTGCGTGACGTTGTGCAATATTCAAAATGCTTAACAGAAAATAATTTACTTATACTTTATGACCAAAATATAAATTATCGCTTTGTATTATACAAAAATCTTAGATAATTTGAAAGCTTTAGTATCTCCTCTTGACTTAAGTTTTCTATTCGTTTTATAACTTCCCTTTCACAATTTTCACCACTCATTGGAGTCTCAAAAATATCGCCTGCCTTATTCCATTTGCAATCGTGGAAGTGCTTTCGAACGCTTCGAAACAACTGTCTTGAACAGATTGTGGAGACATAAATGGTACTCCATATCAGAATATTTGGCTTGTTTGCATACATTTTCCGTTTTTGCTCAAAGTTCTTCTTAGAGAAGAACATATGATAAAACCGTCTATTTTCAGCTTTGTTCAGCAGGCAGAGCACATAAACAACATCCGAATATCCTTCCGGCCCCGAAACTGTGGGAGCATCATCCGACCTCAACAGTATTTTGCTGAGAATCACTGGGAATGTGTTAGCATCGACTATTGGAGCCCCGCAAGCGGCCCTAGACTTGCGATCCGTTTTACGTGACCATTTTGCTCCGTCCGATATTTTAAGCACTGGCGTTTCTTTAATTGTATCTTCTTTGTTTTTTGCTATGAAAACAGCGTCTAAACCTGAGTTTAGTTCCTCCATTTGTATTATTTTATTTGATAGAACTTGGTTTATGCACTCCTGATTCTCTTATGTGCGCTAGACTACTAAATTTTACCACGCTAGCAATACATTTATGTGTTCATTCGAAGCTTTACGATTTCAAAACAAACAATAATAAGCTTTAAGCTTTTATGAGATTACAACTGATTGATGTAATAATGCGTAAGCTTTAAACGCCTTATTGACATCAACAATCATTTATTTAAAAATTAAACAATGAAAAAGTTATACATAAATGCATTTCCGAGTATACATAGTCAGAACTCTGTATATTCTCATTAGTTGTTTTCGTAGTATATAAAAATATACAATTTAACTAAAAGCGTGTAATTTCACAACCTAACACAATAAAAGGCTTTAACGTCTGTTAACTTTTCTGCAAAAACATTTGCTGCAGCTGCTGTTAACGATTTCCAATGAATCGCATAATATAACGGGTTAAGAAATTACAAAAATCCTACATATTCTTAATAATTTGAATTTAAAATTCCCTAACAAACAGGGGTAAAAAATATGTTGAAAAAATAACAGCAAAACACATCCATGAAAATTGGAATTTCATACTCACAAAACAGGACACAAAATGTTTATTAAGAAATAAGTTTAAGTGAAAACGGAATTGTACATTCTACAATTTGTTTTAGCATATTTTAAAACAACATATGTATATGCTTTTGAGGGAATTGTTTCGAAATTCACAATGAGTCAAACTTGTGATAGAAATTCGCTAAAATGGATCGCGATGTGACATTTATTCAAATCGCTTAACTCGACCTCTGTTAATCCGGCCTCGGTTTAACACGATTAAAAATTTGCTTCCTTTTACACGATAAAAACATCGTTATTACACTATAGAAGTTTAGATTATTTTAAGAAGAAGCGTATTACTTTAACTCTCTTTTGTTGTTGTATCCCCCAGGTTATGCAATTAATACAGGATTTCGGATACAACTAAAACTGAATCCATCGATGGTAATCAGTACTTTCCTATTGCCTTGAATTGTTTATTTCATCTCTAAAAGAGCTTAAGGAGAAAACATTAAAAGGATATTGGAAGAAATTGTGACCAGCGGTGATTTACAATTCCCAAACCCTTTCTTTTACAAGCAAGAGGGTCACCACAAACAAACAAAATGTTTATAATTAGATAAAATGCCTATAATCTTGAAATGAATCTTAAATTTTATATTAAACTGCTTTAACATTTTTTACCCTTGAAAATATTTTCCCTTTTATTAGGATTAATCTATTAATAATAAATATTCAACACTTGGAGTAACTTTTTGTTAATTTCGAAGATGGTTGGACAGCGGAAAAACAGCGGAAATTTAAAAAGCAAATCTTTTTTGTGCATTTGTCGAAATCTAGGAACGTAACCCCATAATTTGTATGGAGTTCATGTCTCGTTAAAAACAATTTATCTTAACGCGAGGTTTTCTAGGTGTACATAGAAAAAATTCTACTTCGGCTGAACTTATGTTACATTTATTTAGAATTGAGAATCAAAATCAAATATTTAATGCATACATTGTTCTTTATTTAGCCTTTTGTAGCATACAAAAACATTAAATAATTTATGAACTTTTCTAACAGCTCATCGCGCAGTTCATATAGCCTAGTGATAGTGACTCAAAGGCGGTGCCCCCTTTATTCCATTTGTAGTCCCGGACATTCTTTCTGAAAAGAGCGTGCACATATGGTCTCAATTGTAAAGTCATACAAACAACTCATGTTTGGTTGAGCCACATAAGACATCCTAACTCGTTGGTAATCCTTGGCCAATTCGTCATCGGTCGTAGAATAAAAGTGAAAAATATACTTCAACTGTGTTTTGTTTTCCATACAGAGAGCTCCCAAAAACTGTCGAGTTGACGGTGGATGTGGTGGTGCTGCATCAGATTTCAGTATTATTCTACTCAGAATTATCGGAAACGTATTGCTATCGACGTTAGGTGAGGGTGTCGGTGTAGGTGAAATTTTGTATTCTTTTTGATTTCGTTTTCTTCGACGTTTCCCAGCTATTTCAGCAGAGATTCTGAGCACTGGGGTTGAGATCCTTTTTTCCCGAATTAAATCTTTTTTTAGATGCTCCATTGTATTTAAAGTGTTCCAACGCTTCTTATTTATTATCTACAAAACGTTCCACCTTAAGCGATAATATTTGCTAATAAAAAGCTTTTCACAGAAGACATTGTTAAAGTACATACAAGCATATGTATGTAAAAGAATTAAGAAGGAATTTCAAGTCAAACAAATTTTATTTTGAAAAAAAAAAACGTACTTATCTTAATACAATTTGAGCTAACTTAGTGAATTAAGCACACTCACAATAATTATCTACATTATCCCTACATTTTCGTAGCATATAAGAACCTTAGATAATAGAGCAATTTTTTCAGTTCCTCCTTCCCCATTTCATGAATTCTTGCCGATATCATACCCACGTTGTGGTGAGCACCAGGTAACGTCTCAAAAACATTTCCCTCATTATTCCATTTGTATTCCTTAAAGGTATTTCGAATGCGCAAACACAACGCTCTAGCACAAATTGCTGGCTGAGTTATTCTATTCTGCTCACAAATATGCGGCTTCTTTTTATAAAGTAATGACACTTTTTCATAATCAATGCCAACATATTTTTCGGTAGTGCAGAATATATGATACATATGTGCGTTAGAAATTTTATTAAATAGGCAGAGCACTCCTACATACTGTAGCCAGTTTTCTTTTGATGGAGGATGTAAAGGACCTTCATCACTTTTTAAAAGAATTCTGCTTAGAATTAGTGGGAACGTGTTAACGTTGACTTCTTCTGCGGATGAAAGCGGAGCCTTACGACGTTTCTGGGATGGTTTCAATTTTCCCGAAATATTCAGAACTGGTGTTTCCGGCCATGCTGAAGAACTGCTTCTTTTTTCACTCTCTATAACAGATAAAGCCTTCATATTTGTTGTTACATACTCCATTCGTTTTTGATAGCAATTTGAGCACTAATTTGATTTCAAGTTTGCTTCTACTGTTTTTACACAAAATAAAAACGCCTAATTTCACAACAAAACAAAAATACAATAAAAAGCTTTAAGCTTTAAACATATGTCTTATGTTTGGATAGGTGCAACAGCTGTAACAACAGTTATGACCGCTTTACGCTGAATGTCAAAAATAATGGGCTTAAAGCTGGTTTCTAGAGACAAAACTGTTAGGCGAAACAATTTAATTTAATACTTTCATTTGATTAAAATGCAGTAGACTTTAGATAAAATAGAAACCTGCCTTGCATATAAATGTAGCAGCGGCATGAAATCTTCTGTTTCTGGGTCTTTTTTACAATATTATTATAATATTACTCGGAAATCGAACCTACATATTGTTTTGTTGCTTGGTTAATTACCGTCAACAAATATTATTTATTTTAATCAGACCTAACATATTCAGGACAGTTTAATGTAGGTGTGCAATACACAATATTTAATAAAAAAAAGTATTTTATTGGTACAAATAATATTAATGAACTGCGGGAGCATAATCCAAAGCATTTTGAAACTTATTAACATCGGTTTTAGGTGCAATACAAGTGGCAGCAGTTTATACCGCTTTGTTTTTCATTGTTTTGAGGTTTGTACCCATATTTGAATTATTTGATAAATAGTAACAAAACGATCATCTGATGAAGGTCCGGCTTTTTATTGTTCATGAAGTCTATCAAAAATTTAATGGTAAACAATCGTATTTTACTAAAACCCAGTCTTTATTTGTTTTTTATGATCATAAACTTTTTTACTTTGTTTCTTTCTTAGAATTTCAAGCCTGTTCCGCCTTGCTTCTTGGCAATGCGGACCAGCATGGGTGACTGGCAGCTGGGCGGCTTATACTGACGCCGCTTCAATAGATCGCGTTGTATATTGGCACTGACCTTCCGCAAGGGTATCGCCGTAATGCCATCGAGCAAGTTATCCTTGGCATGCTGCAGGGTACTCTCTATGAGATTCTCAACGCTAATGGCACGTGCATCGATCATCGGATCCCGGTCCAGAATGTCCACAATGATGCGTAGTGTTTCGTCCGACTGAAACTCCTCCAGTGGCAATACCTCGATCAACTCCTTGAACATGTGCGCCATTATAAAGTGCGTGCGATTAACTACTTCGGTTATTTGGGCGCACAGCGAGTCCTTGGCATGGTCAAAAATACCTGAAATTACCTCCTCAGTGTTCACATCGGAGCGTTCGTACTCGAAGACAGCGACGACCTCATTGAATAGTTTACGCAGCTCGTCAGCGCTAATGTGAATAAAGTATTTCTTCGGCACTAAGCTCTCCAAGTGCTCTGTAATGCACTCGGCAATGCGATCTGTATACTTTCCCTGGAAGTTATAGGCCGCTTGGCAGAGATACAGGGCGGCTCGCTGTGAAAATTTGCGCACGTTCTCGGGAGTTGTGTGTTTGCCAAGAAACTGGTTAAAAGTCTTCTGCACAATAGTGTGTACCCGATCCAAAATAAAGTCATCGGGCATCTGGGGTTGCAGAAAAGTCTCCACATTTACTATGGCTGGGCAGACCGTGGGATCATCGTTTGGTAACAGCTCGCTGGCAGCCTGCGGCTCATGCGGCGGCTCTGTTTCGATAATTTGCAGAGGTTTTGACTTCAAGCGCAAAGTACAAATCTCACGTTCCAGGCACTGCAATCCAAAACTCCATAAAACGAAATACCTTTGTATATATGTATATATAAAACTAACCTCGATTTGCCGCTGCATCTGATTGTCAATGTCCACCAGTTTTTCAATGTCATAGGAAAGATTAAGTGTGTTGGGCTTAGTCCACTTTTCATGGTTCCGCTCCTGCGCATCGAGTACAACATCCAAAACGTTCTTCTCCTCTCGAAGTGCAGCGAGAATATTGCGTTTCTCTGCATTCACCTGCGTCTCGTGAATTAATTCTTCTTCGCACCGCATAAGCTCCCGCTGCAAGCATCAAAAGGAACGTTTAACACATTTAACAAATAAATAACGCAGTGTGGGAAACTCGCCTGTCTTTCCAATAGTTCTTTTTCCAGTGCTCGTAGTTCATCCTCGGCAGTAGTTTCCAGCTCAAAAACATATCTACGCAGCACTTCCTCCTCCAGTTCGTCAAGGTTTACAATTAGCCCGAAGCGTTTCATCATGGCCTGCTTGATCTCCTCCTCCAATCGTGTGATCTCGTAGCGCATGAACTTAATGTCCGTGTTCATGCGCCGTAAATGCACAATATTGATCCGATGCCAGCGCCGCGTTGCCAACGTCTCGTCGTTCAACTGCTCCACACGTCGACGGAGATCAACCAACCTATCGGCATCAAAGAGTATGGCCTTGGACAGATCACGGTAGTCGTCGCCCTCATAAAAATGCTGCAGCTGATCCATACGTAGCACGGCGTTCAACTGCACCTTGTTTATCTCCTGTTGTCGTTGTCTCTATATGTCAGATCATTAAAGGCATTAAGAAAATGTTAAGCACGCTTTTAGATGAAAAGAAAAATACCCGAAACTCCAGCAAAGTGTTCTTTTCACGATCGTACACCTCCTCGTGGTGCTTCATTTGCTTTTGCATTTCAGCAATCTCCTTACGCTTCTTAGCCACCTCAGCCATGTGCTCAATGACGCTACGCTCCAGTCCATGTCGATCCGAGCGCATGACAAAGGCTAGATCGTACAAGGCCCGATCCAGTCCGGTGGGACATGTCGATTCATCTAGACGTATCGTGGTCATGTCCAATGAATCTATACTCTTCGCATCCGCCTCATCCTCCTCACTCGATGACGATGATTCCGATGATGTGGAGGATTCTTCATCATCTTTGCGAACGCGCTTTGGTGGACGCCACCTTTTCTTAAATATACGACGCAGAAAGTCATAGAACTTGTGACCCTTGATCGTGCTCATAAATGTCAGCTGCAATGCCGCAATTTGTTCGTTCAACTTATCAATGTTCTTCCGGAGCTCGTCCAGCTGACGATTTGTGGCGTTAATCACCACCTGTAACTCATTCCGGGTATTCATGGCCTCGTTTGCATTTTGTAACAGCTGATTCTCAATTTCCTCGCTGTCCCGCAATATGTATAGCTCCTGATTTAGGCTAATCAGGTATGCAGCCATGAACTCGGCCTCCAGTTTAGCATGAAAACGAGAAATATTCATTTTCTCCAGGTCCTGAAAGCAAAGTCGAAACGGAATTAATTAATCGCCGTAGAATGCCAATAAAGCCATAACCATTTGTATGTCTGTATTGAGATGACTTAGACTGACTAAGCTAAGTATGTATATGGGTACACCCAAGAAGGGTTTCTCAATTAATTGTAAAACTTTAGTGTGTCTTTTTTCGCTCCAAACCTTATCGAACTGGCGGATCTGCTCGTCCACATCATCCTTTATGTTTTGCTGCTCAACCAGCAAGACTCGAAGACAGCGATTACGCATTTCCTGGGTCATGGGGGCGTTTCCCTCCTCATCTAGCTCGAAGTATGATGGGTCACTGATCGGCGGCAGGTCTCGGAGCATAGCTACTAGCTCCCCAGGAGTGAGGGTTCTATCTACTTTACAAATTTGCAGTGCATTGTACTTGACAGCTTCTTGCAGCTCCGGAGACTCAATGTGTGCCAGTGTAAAGATGCTGACGGTGTCTATGGTGGGATCACGTTTTCTTTCCTCGATGACCTCCTCCACGGTTTTTTCCATATACAAAATATCATCCACATTCACACCACAGCCCGGTTCGCAATGCTCAATGAGATTATACTCGGGATACTCAATGTCCGGATTGATTTCTGCTATATCCCCTAAATATAAACGATCCCTTTCAGGGACAAAGCTGTGTATAGTATTCAGTCGGTTGCGTCGTTTTCGTATATGCCCCAATAGATGTTTTTTTCGATCGCGAAGCGCGAAAATACGATGATTAAAAGTATCCACCATCTCGAAGTACATCTTCCGGCACTCGACAATTTCAATGTATTTTTGTGTTAGGGTCTCCGAAGGCTTTGGTTCGTAGTCGGCACCAATCTTAAGCTTATAATCGCCCAAATTGCGCATGGCCTCTGCAATTTGGGCATCATCATCTGGATGGTTGCGATTGGGATCGGGTTTCTGACGCTCCAGCTTGTCCCAGTCAAAGATGCGTCGCACCTCGTACAGTTGTCGTTTGCGGTATCGCAAGAGCAGACGCATCATCTTTCTGCTGAAGCGAGGCATTATGCTGCGTGGATCGCGACCAAAGAAGAACGATTCTGGAGGTGGCTCTCCAATTGAGTCCTCCTTCTCCTCAGCGGCGATAAGGTCATGGAGGCTGTTGGAAAAGGGGTAAGTCAAGTGGTCGAAAAGGAATGAGCACAGAATTGGAATTGGAACATTGAGTGCAAAGTGCATAAGGACATGGGTTGTGAGAAAGGATGTGCATAAGTCGAATTTAATTTCTTACACTTCCGGTTGGTCCGGCACGCGGTCCTTGTTATATCTGCTGCTTGTGTCATATAAAAATAACTATACAAAATGTACATCTGTTGTCGCACACTTTTTCTGTCTGACTTCTTACCGGCACAACTCCACACTTACCCCAATTCTTGCTCCCGACGCAACCGTTCTTCTATGTCGCGTTTAATTTGCTCGTATTCTTCCCCCAAAGACTGCAGGCGGAAGGTAGAAATTGGTGTGACGTTGGCCCTTTAAATGAAAGCAAAAGTAAATTCGACTGTACATGGATTGGAAGGGAAACAAGTCATTCTCACCGCAAAGGAGTGACCGAGAAGGGCACATGGTCCAGCTCCTTAAGAAAATGATCAAAAAGCTTGCGATGGCCCACTTGGGCAAATTCTAGATCATAGGCCAAGTCCTCTCGCACATCATCCAACTCGGCTTGCAGCTCATCGCGTATTTGTTGAGTTATGCGTGGATCGAGAAGAAGATCCTTGTGCTGGGCACGTAAGCCGGGTGGCAGTTGTTCATTACGTCGCACAATCTCAAAATATTCGTTTTGGAGTACTCCAATCTTCGCCAGGACATCGCGATCATGTGCCTCAGCCGCGTCCTGCTGCCGCTTGATTTCCGCATTAATTTTCTCCTGCTCCAGTGAAGGTGTGTCAGGATCAAGAATATCATCAGGTAGTTCCATATCTGGCATTTCGGGAAGGCGTTTTTTTGGCGGATTTTTTACAACCTTCGGACCATTCCATTTATAAAGAAAAATATTTCCATCATGGCCAATAGTGACCAGGCGCTCGCCATCAAAACTAGTCAGGATGCGTGGCATAACACCATTATTAGCCTCATGCATGGGATAGATGCGGTAGTCCGTAAGATCCGTAAAATTCTCCAAGTTCAGACGATTGATGCGCAGACGTCCATTGAATAAGCCAAACAAAATATATTCATCGCTGTGGATGCCAAGAAGTTAAAACGAAGTGGAACAGTTTTGCTCTTTGGTACGTACATTATGTAATAGGAGTGGATTTCAATGTCATCGGCATCCGCAATCATAGTGCATATCGAGGGCTCGGCCGCTCCGAATTCCAACTCATAGACATAGCCCGCATCATAGCCTGCCATAGACACCCAAATGGTGTCGCGATCTGTGTAACGCAGCCAGAGTATGGCGTTGGGCACACTTGGAATGTGGAGTGGTTCTTCCTCTTCGTCTGGCTCCGAGTCCGCCAGCGCGCTCTCAATGTCGATTTGCAGTCCTGGATTGGCCTTTTTCAACTTCTCGATTTCCCGCATTTTCCGCTCACGTTTTTTCTCTTTACGGCGCTTGATCTTCTCACGCTTGATGTCACGCCGTATGCGGCTCTTTACCGAGACGAAGCGAGTACTGCGTAGTCGTTCCTTACTCGTTAGATTGTAGGTAAGATAGGTTTCCTCCTCGGTGATATTGGTGCGTATATTGTACTCGTAAACCTCGCCGGACTTACAACCAATCAACACTAAATTCGACTGAGAAAAGCAATAAACACCTTGAGATTTAATAATGGAATTGGGAAATGTGCTAACCTAGCTATGACTAACTAGGACTCCATAGTACGATTGTTACTTATTATCTCACCTGAGTTTCCCTCCAATAGAAACAGTTCGGTATGGCTTGAAATTCAATGAACCCCAAGGGCTTCAGATCCACCATTTCGAGCTCGTTATTGGAAAGTGCATATATAAAAATGGTCTTATCGGCAGAGCCGGAGAGTAACAGAGTGCTCTCGCTGTTTATGGTCAGACAGGTTATTGGTGCAGTATGAGCCTTGAAGACGCGGACCAAATGCAGACTTGGCTGTCTCGGGTTACTCAGGTCCAGGAACATCTGCCGCAATATACCATCCTTAAAGCCGGCAACCAGCTCCGTGCCTAGCGTTGATATTTGTGTGTCGAACCAGAGCACATCGACCCCGTCGGCAGGGAATTGTTTCTCTAAAAGTAGGCTTCGGGTGTCGTAGTTGTACACAAAAATCTTGCCATCTTCGGAGAGTGCCAACAGATGGGGAGACACGGGCGAAGTTTGTGCTGCTAGGACGCGACCGCCAACGCATGAGTAAAGCTGATAGGACTTCTTGGGTATGTCGAAGGTGTTGATATCACAGAACCAAATTCCGCCTTTGCCATCCTGCGCATAGTATCCAAAGTCATTGTCGTCAAACAGATTGATTTTCTGCATACAACGCAGCTCCACATCGCCTATTTTGAACTCATAGATCGGATCGATTTCCACAAACAAGTCGTCCTCAGGGGGGTCGGCCAGATCGACAGTCTCCCAGTACCAGACGCGTACATACCCATCCATGCCAACTGTTGTCACTTCTCCATTTTGCATCGTGATGCGCGTTATAGGCCTGGCATGACACGGCTTGCGTCCCTTGCGACAAATCTCAAACTTGATAAGACCCGCTTCCCACAACAGCATGTTCCCCCAGTCGCAGCCCGAGATCACATTTTCATCCGGCAACATGTATGTGGCGTAGATGTCACTGAAATCGGTTTTGCCAAAGCGGCCCAAATCACCTTTCAGCTTTAGCCCCGTAAAGGTATTGGCCATTTTCCAGAACTTGATATGACTCAGGCCCGATGAGACCAGCAGTATTGGATTATGCACCGAAAAGTGTACAAAAAGGATGTCGCTTTGAAAGGATTTAGCTCGCAGTACAACCTCAGCACGCTCCCATCTCCAAATGGTTAATATGAAGTCGGGATAACCGGCCTGGGAAGCAAATAGCTCGCCGCTGGAGTTATATGAGCCGGCCGTGAAACAAGCCTTGGCTGCATTCGATAACTTGATGCGAACATCATGTGAGGGATACTCATAGATAAAAATAGTGGGACGTGGTCCATTTTCTCCCACGGTAAAGAGGCCCTGATGATCGGGATGATCGTTTTTCTGCGGATTTTTTTTTTTAAATGAAATTCTATTTATGATAATTCTAAATATAATAAAAGATTGTTTTATATATAATTTATAAGTACGCTAAATACTTTTTTTAAATTAATGAGCTTTAACAATACAACTAATTCTGTTTTTACACGGTCTGGATTTAACACGGTTTGAATGTAAACCATTTTTAATTTTGTTCCACGATTTTATTCCATGTAACACGATTCAAAATAATACAACACAAATAAATAAAAACACACACAAACCATTCTTGTGTGAGTCGTTATAATGAATTATACAAACAGTTAACAACAATTGGCCAACAACGGCTCATAACAGAGTTCACTGCTAAAAATGTAGATGCCAAACGAGCAAGAGAAAGTCCAGTTCAAGATTATTTCAGCAATTACAATAATTTTATACGCTTTCGAAACAAGCGAATTCGAGTAACTGATGATGACATCAATTAAATGTATGTTCCTGTATTTCTGACTATCATTAAAATTTAAAAATATCATTTTCTTATTTTAGTTCCTGTTCTTTAAGCTTAGAGTGCATATCTTTTTTTTCTTTCATATAAATGCTTGAATACACAAATAAATATAGGATTTAATAAAAGAAACATGAATACTTGTTCGTAAAATATTCTTGATTTTTCATAAATCTGAATAGGTTTTAAAGATAAGTTAACAAAAATAGTTGAATTTTAGCATACAATCAATGTCTTTTTTACACTGTGCATAATATTTCTGTGGCGAATATTAGATTAAGGATATATTCTAATTGAAACTTTTCGAATATCTGACATTTTTTGATACAGATTGGTATCTAATATTTCTGTCATAATATCAATTGTTTTAAATATGTATATACATAAATACAAATCTCATTTGAGAAATATCTTTGTATTAACATATAAAGTTTCATTGAAAGTTTGTGAAACTTTTAAACTACCACATACATAATACTACGTGTAGCTTGAATTCAAAACTTTTGTAGTGTACCATTAGTACAAAATAAATATACGTAAGTGCATTTAATATTAATAGATATACATACTTATTGCACCTTACCGTAATAAATCCTATGCCACAGCCAAAAACCGTCTCCCGAAATGTTACCTCACGCCTGGAAATGCTAAAGTAATGCAGATAGTTTCCAGAAGCAAAGATAATTGTATCCTTATTAACCAGCACCATGTTGAAAAGGCGCTTACAGTTGTAGCCAAATGAGTGCCTGCAATAAGGTGGATGATGGGCGAGAATCGAGGAATAGTCGTACCAGCACTTACTCCAGGCTAACAATATCCATAAGAAACGAAACGTCATTTTCATCTTCTGGGAGCTCCTCCTCCTCGCCCAGCTCATCATATTCACTTTGTGATGGATCCATCTTTGTCTAACAGCTGAAATTATTTTTTCATGTTCTGATTAAATTCATAAGGATTGCTTGACTATGCCTGTTTAGTTTTGTTGTCAAGTAATTGTTCGTTGGAAACCTCTGTACTGTACTGAACTGCAGGGCATGCGCATTAAACAATCAATTTATTCGAATAATTACAAACATATATCTATATATTCAGATCCAATTAATAACAATTAAAATATTAAATCCTTGAACGCCTCATCATCGTCATCATTGAAAAAGTCTGCAATGTCCTCTTCGAGCTCCTTTTCAGCATTACATGTGCTGTCTTTTAATGAATCTGTTTTATTATTGTTGTTGTTAGTTTCATTGTGTGCTGTCGAGAGGTATTGGTGCAATGTTCCGGAATCCTCTTTAGTATTGGTTTTGACGGGTGAAAAGTATTGCTCAATTTTATTTGACTGCAACAGAGAAGGACCCATTAGGTGGTTTTTTAGTGATTTTTGTCTTTTGAAATACTTACCGTTGTAGGCGCTGTGCTGTGTGTAGTATCCTTTAAATCTTCACAGAAGACCCCCAAATTCTTCAGCGTGTCCTGCTTTCTATTTAGCATATTCCAAATGGTATCATCAGCTGTTCTGCTAGCCATAAGATAACGACAAATCACAGGCTTCGTCTGACCAATTCGATGTGCCCGACTCTCTGCCTGAGCCATGGTCTATAAAAAAGAATTGAAATTACAACAATAAAACATATATCTAAATATTAAAACAGGCAATTAAACGCACGCTTGGAGTCCAGTCCAGCTCAGCAAAAACAATCATTTCGGCTGCAGTCAGTGTTATTCCAGAATTACAAGCTTTCAGAGACAGCACAGCCACCTTGCAGTTGCTCTTATTTTGGAACGTATCGACGTAGCAGGCTCTAAGATCACTGCGCGTATTACCATCGATACGTATGTAGTGCACTTTCATTTGATTCAGGCAATCGGTTATGGCATCCATCATAGCTCGGTGATGAGCAAAAATTATGAATTTGAACTTCTCCTTAGTCAAAGTTTTTAAATAAGCGCTGGATACCAATGACATCCAATTAAAAGTTTAGAGCAGAAATAGACATGTGGATAACTTACCACACAGCACGCGTTTTGACCTCGGCAGTACGCGCATAAAAGCGCATCAGAATCTCGTCATGGCGTTTACCTTTGGAGTTTTGTAGCTCTTCGCTGAGGGCATTTAAACTAGTTTTGGTTTCTTCATTGGTCCAAACAAGCGATGGATCCAAAATAACAGTCTCACTAAAGATGGTTAGTAAAAAGTATTAAATTAATATCAACAAATAATTAAAACTACTAAGTACATTACCGAATTTTTTTAGCAAGATTCGGCAGCACTTCGGCTTTGGTTCGACGTAGCATATATTTGTGCAGTAATACCGCCTTAAGCTCATCCAGATTCGACTGCCCGTTGGCATCCCAACCAAACTTTGACTGCTTGCCATCACAATATCTTGTAGCTATAAAAAAGATACTCAAATGTTTATAATTTTTATAAGTATTTTGGGGCTTGATTTACTAAAATCCATGTAGGTCATAAAGCGTTTGTCGATCAGCTGCAACTGGGAGAAGAGTTCTAAAGGACGCGATAGCGCTGGAGTTCCGGACAAAAGCACGACACGTCTCGCTTTATCGGCCAGTTTTTTGGCACTTACAGTGCATTTCGCCTTCAAATTCTTTATTGTATGCGACTCGTCAAAAATAAGAAAGCCAAATTTTCGTTCCAGCAATTTGTCTGTAATCCTTTCCATCATTGTATAGCTGATAATGAGCACCCTGGCATCTAACAGGTACTGCTGATTGTTGTCCAAAACTTGAACACAGTGCACCGGAACGCTCGGCAACAGCTCAGTTACGTGCCTATTCCATGAGTCACGCGTTGATGCTGTGGTGCATATTAGGAGCGGCCAATCATCCTTGAAGTAGTCAGCAACAGCCAGTGCCTGATATGTTTTTCCCAAACCCATTTCATCACAGATCATGATTCGACCCTGCTGCGCAATGGCAAAGCTGTCGGAAAGTTCACATTTAGTTTGAGTCGCGATGTTTTTATCTTACCATAATCCACTTACCATACACCATCCTGTTGAAATGGCATCAATTTCTGTGCCAGTTTAGGCTCTATCGACGCCAGGCAACTGTGCTCCGGTAATGTTGACGGTGCTTGACACATTTCCATCACTTTTTTGGGTATGGTACCAATTAGTACGTCCGGCTTCAAATCGCCGACATGTTTTTGCAAAAGTGCGTAGTCATTAACGTGAAAATTCCAAATGCGCGTGTTGCTGTCGTACGCCCTGGAAGGTATTTTCTTAAACACCTCAATCAGTTGTTCATGATAGCCAGAAATGTGCACTGCAAAACGCTGGGCGCTTATCATGTAAGGACGGCAGGTCACCGATTTCACAAAGACAGACGCCACAGGCTTCTCTTCCTCTGGCGTAAGCCCCAAGATTGGTTTGTGGTCTCCATTCGGACGATAATAGGGATGTGACGAGGAGCGTGCAATTTCGCGGGAGGAAACACCTTTAATGGCTTTAAGTGCATTCAAAAATGTGGTGCTCTTATTGCTGTTGCTGTTGGGCAGGGACACAGTAGGCTTTTCGCCATTCTGTGGTGGAGATCTGTAGAAGTTGACTGTTTGCTTTGAACCTAATTTCACGCTAGCACCACTTGTTGCGGCAGGTTCTTTTGGTTTTACGTTTGCAGCTAGCTGTGCTTGCCTGGCTTGTAATTTTGCCAGAGCTATTCGCTTCTTTTCGGCAATTTCTGCAGCGGTGCAGGACATTTCTATCCACACGAGGGTTATTATAATATTGTTTACGAAAGGATTTGAATTTGAAATGAGACGCACACCTTCTTCTTCTTCTTATTGTTAGTTACATTCCCAGGAACTAGCAAATGATTCCTCAGCTGTTATTGCAAACAAGCGTTGCCATTTGTATACAAAAAATTATATACATACATACATTTTGTATGGGAAAGCACCTGCAATGGGCTATATAACTGATTTTTACTCCAAAACTGTTCCGGAAAAAATTGCATACTTTCAGATATAATTTTGAATGCACTTTTGAAATGTTTTTAGTACCTAATGAGAGCGTATTTATCGATTTTAACATTAAAAACGCTCATGTTTTTAAAGTTTTAAACAACAATACCGTGTTCTTTTATTATTTACGCATTTGTTTTCGAACGAAATATATTAACTTGTGGAAAGGTCATACGTACATATATAAAAGCATTTTCTTAATTATGTACAAATTAATCCTTAACATAATTTCTTCTTCCAATAAAATTTAATATAATATTGTTTGGGTTATGATTCACTGTACTACTTGTCCAATACTACTCAGTATCAGTTGCCACTGCATGAGCCACCCTGTCAAAAGAAATCAGCTGTTGTATATAAACAATGCCAGGCAATTACGTTTCCATTCATAATTTGCGAAAAATGCACTGAAACGCATTAATCGCACCTGTGTTTCATACAAATCACGTAATAGTGAACGGTGTAAAAAAACGAAGCCATATAATGTGTACTCTACAGGCCGAAGAGACACATTTGGCTGCAATGGCCTACGCTAATACCAATAGAGATGAAGTCACACTGTCACTCTTCGACATAAGCTGGGAGGACGTTTTGATCCCTCACGTTGCTGTGCACCTTACACTTAAGGATCTGTTCAATCTACGGAGCTCTTCACGCACCGCTCTCCGTTTTGTAGAATCTGCACTAGAGAAACGTCAAGAGCTACATCTCTCTGGTAACAGTACAAAGAATATAGAATTGGCATTCAAGGTGATGGCCCGATGCTGTCGACGAGTGGAAAGCCTTCAGCTTGCCTGTTGCAAGTGGCTGACGGACGAGTTATTGCTGCCGCTATTGGCCTACAACAAGCAGCTGCGTGTCGTAAATCTGAACGAGTGCGTGAACATAACGCCTCTCGCTCTGCAGCCCATCATCATTGAGTGCAAGGAGCTGCGCGTCCTTAAGCTTTCAAAATGCCAATGGTTAACTACTGGAGCCGTCGACGCGCTGACACTGCACCAGAGCAAGTTGGTGGAATTTGATATTTCGCATTGCGGCGCCATCGGTGAACGCTGTCTCATAATCTTCTTTCGCAAGCTGAACAGACTGCAGGTCCTTTCGCTGGCCCAAACCCCAAGTGTGACGGACCAGGTGCTTATACAGATTGGTAATTTCTGCCGAGAATTGCAGCACATAAATCTAATTGGTTGTGGCGCAATCTCCGACTACGGTATACAGTAAGTGTCCTCAATTTGTCTTGTTGTGTGTGTTTGTCTGTGTAGCGTATTTGGCCGGAGACACCGAGACACTCAACTGGCATCTCTCGCCTCTCTTACAGCGCAATAAGTGTGCACTGCACGCGCCTGCAATCGTTGCACATCAGACGCTGCCCCCGCGTAACCGAAAATTCGTTAAGCCCGCTACGCCAACGACGCTTGCGCATAGACAGACCGCAGCAGGATGTATACGCCTACAATTTAAATGATTTCTATCCGAGCGACTTTCTTGTTTACTAGCTCCACAGGAAACGATGCCTCTCTCACTTACTTATTTTCCTTGCAGCTCGCTGACAAGAACTCTCCCGCGCCTCCAATCCCTGATGGTACAGCGCTGTCCGTTAGTTACTGAACGCGTATTGGGTCCTCTCCGAGGGCGTTTGCACATTGACAAGCCAAGCATGGGCTACAACTTGCATAACATTGAGCATTGCCTGTACCTGCAGGTGTAATGAGAGAACCGAAGGTCTGTCGCTGGAAACGAAAGCAAAAAGGCTACAACGAGAAACGCTTTTCTTTTTTGTTTTGTAAATATTATATTTACTTCCGCGCTTATGCAGCCACACTGGACGCTACATTCATAAATACCCCGTTAGGCTTACACTTACAAATTGTTAACATTATTTCTAGGCGCTCTAATAATACACAATACAAATAAAAATATACTCTCGATTAAAAAACATGCTTAAAAAGCGTTTTGCAAAAATGCGGCCAATAAAAAATAGTGTACGTGTTACGTGTGCATCCCTTTGTGCTAAATCATGTTCATTGTGCTGATATCAATGGCGAGGTAGAAGTTTCACTGTCATCACACATTTTCATTTGTTGTTCCATCGCCGCATCCAACAACTCGGGTGTTGTGGCTATGGAGTATGGGGATGCCCCAGTCGTATTCTCATCGCCCTTCAGTCGCCAGCTCTCATGCAGTTGCTTTAGATGAGCATATGCTGCCATGGATATGTTCAAGCTAGGCATAACATCAGAGAGTCCGGGCTCTCCAGTAAAGGCAAGACCGCATAGCCCCAGATAAGTGTGAAATGGATCAGGAGTGGACTGCGGCCATTTGGCAAATCCACCAACCAATTTATCCTGTGTAGTCATTATATACTCGCGATTTTTCGCATAGTCAGTCAACTCAAATGCATTTAGTATGCGTAGTGAGGCACCTATCCAAAAGGAATAACAGGTATCCACGGGTTTATTCGGGCGACCCTGAAATCCATCAACTTGGCGAAAGATTAGCCACCGTTTCAGGCGCTCCACGGTGCATGTGTCCAGGCGATGTAGCTGACCGCTCAACTCCAGAGCAGCTAAAGCACAAAATGTGGTACCGCCATGGGCCTCGCCTTCAAGTTCCTGACTGAATCCATAGTCATAGCGCTGGAATACAGTGTGTTAAGTGTCAGGCCTACTACAAGTAATTGAAGCTTGCAACATACCAGACTGCGCATTATGAATTGGTACATCGTTTCCTTATTTACATCGCCCCAATAGTCCAGCATGTGGCATATGGTTGCTGCACAATAAACAAATCGCATATCGCTCTCACTACCATCGATGCAGGCGCTAAAACTGCCATCGGGTCTCTGTACCGCTGCAACGCCTATGGAACGATAAAGCATTTTAAAGGGTTACTTTCATAAATAACTAGCACGTAAGCAGAACTATGTTTCGTAGAAAATTGTGCACTTAAATTATTATCTGATATGTGAATAGAATTTCTGGATATTTGTGAAGCCATAAAGACCGGTTTTTTAAAAAGCTCATTATACCGTAATCCGAACTAAAGTAGTCGACGCTCACCTTTCGTAAAGTACGAACAAACTTATAACTGATTCTGACATTTAAATTTACATCTAAATAACAAATTTTTAAGTCGTTTTACATATAACAGTTACAATGACTTAGCAAAATCTGTAGTCGAAATACAAACTTATATTTTAGATTGGGCAATAAAACCTAACACATAATTTACATTTTAAAAAATATTCAAATTGAATTAATATTGTAACCTAACTTAGATGTGAAATTAAGAACCCCAACTCGAGATATAAAGTAATCTTTGACACAGACTTAGAATAATTCGCACCTGCAACAATATTTTTTCGATCCAGCCTCGTCAAATCATCTCCCAATGTGGCTAACACCGCTACACTGGTGTATGTCATGGCCAAATGGCCCCATTGATAGGCACGCACACATTCTTGCAGCTCAGCGTCATCTGTTTGGGGGACCATGGCACGGCAGCCCTGAAATTTGTATTCATTAATTGATATGAAAAGTGTTTTAACATGTTGGACTGATGGTACACAAAAATACATGTATACTATAAAAGTATTTTAAGATAACTTTGAAATTGAGTGATAAGGGCGAAGCGGCGTTGACGGCTTGTAAATATACAAACTCGCAGCTGCTGCGTAAATATACTGCAAAATTAATTACATACTGTGCACATGTTCTGTATGAATACAAAAGCTCAAAGCAAACTGCGGATAAATGCCCGGCAAAAACCTAAAACCAATAATCAGTAGCATTGAAGGTGTCCACGTAAAAAGATAAAACGCGCAATGGAGACGCTCACAGAGACGATTGTTTGGTATTTGTTTGTTTATATAACAGACGAGTCATATTTATGCTTACCATAAAACCACCGCACTGCTTCTCATTGCTGCGTGGAACTACTAGACCGCCGTAGATCCAGTTAATGATGTCCTGACGCATCTGTGGCGGTATTAAATGCAGAGCATTAAGCACATCCAGGCCACAGACGGCGAAAAACACGATAGTGCTCCTGTAAGCAATGACAACCTGTTAAGCTTGACGATACAAGGACACAAGGACCTTATGCATACGTAACACTTTACCTACCTGGTATTATCATGCGAGGCCATGCGTGCCGGCAACAGATGCAGGAAACGTAGAAGGTTCTTGGAATGCTTCGAGAGCAGCACTGGCTCGTTCGCAGCGGCGTCTTCCATATCTATGTGATAGGACATGTTGTTTAGTTACTGACTTATTGGGCTGTAAATTGGTTAACACTATGTGCGTATTGTGTGTGGGTGCGCCCTTATATATACGGATCCAGCTGACGATGTATATATGACTATGACTAATGTTAGCGAATCGAGATGTGAAAATTCTGCCCTGCTGCGAGCGATGGTTTCTATTTTCCGGCTGTTCAACGTTGATGCACGCTTAAAAGTGAGCGTGCCAATGCACGTGCACTCTTTTAAATAATACCACATTACCTCTTGTTATTTATGAGCCGGTTTGCATCGTAATTTAAGTAGAATTGTACTCCAGTTGCTTCTTCTTTACGGCCTAATGCCACTCACTGTAAAAAGATTAATGCTGCCACATCGAATAACTATTGTGTGTACGCTTCGTCTCGAATATCGCCTGCGTAAGAAGTAGCAGCAGCTTAACAGCTGTTCGTAAGAGACCGCATTTATTATAGGTTTTTACTATTAAACAGTTTTCAAATACTTCCAAAATGCGGATTACACAATTCTTGGGTAGCAAGCTGAAGAACTTTTCAAATCTTCCCAAGGAATACATCGAGCGGAGTAAGAAGCAGGTAAATTGACCAATTTTCATGCTCACGTAACATATTGGTCATGATTCAAAGAAATAAAAGGTATGGCATTGCTCAGGTTCGTTATTCGGTGTGCTCTATGACGTCACAATAAGTTCTGTGACAGCCGTGATTGCATTTTTCACTTTCGCGCGCTTTAGGGCAGTATCGCCAACCAATTGTACCCAAAGCGACAGAGCAGGTACATAAAATATAACGAGCACTGTACTTGGCTGCGTAATGTGAGTAAAAATACTTGCAGCGCTTAATGCCAAATCCTATAGTTGTATCATTAATGTGCTTAGAATGTGGATGATGCAAACAATCTATTCATACATTTTTAAATAATCCATACACAGGTGTATTGGAAGACTCCGCGTGAGGTTAACTATTTGCCACGTACTGTCGAGCGCAGGCGTTTCCGATATACAACCAATCGGCCATGGACAGGGCAATTTCGACAGCAAAACATGCCAGGCACCATGCGCAAGAAGGTATTTGTGGAGCCAGTTGGTAAGTTGGCCAAGGTCGTTAGTAAGAAAAAGAAAGCTAACACTAACGTATATTGCAGAAGAGTGGAGTTTCTTCCGCGGCGATCGCATTGAAGTGCTTGTGGGTAAGGATAAGGGCAAGCAGGGCATTGTCACTCAAGCCATTCCCGAGCGCAATTGGGTGATAGTGGAGGGGCTAAATTGGCATTACAGACGTGTGGGTGCTGAAAAGGATTTTCCCGGCATTATTATTAAATCGGAAGCACCGCTACATGTGACTACAGATGTTCGGCTGGTTGATCCATCAGACCTGCAAGGCACCGAGTTTGAATGGCGCTATACAGAAGAAGGCGAAAAGGTTCGCGTATCCATGCGTTCGGGCCGCATCATTCCCATACCAGAGACAAATAACCAAACGCATGACTACAAAACTCCAAAAGCATATATTGAGCGAGACAAGGATACACCAGGTATGGTTTCAAGTGATTATACTATTTTTTATAGGGTAATAACTGTTCACCTTTTGAAAATCTAGCCGCCATTGTAGGTGAGATTACATTTCAGCCCAAGCTAGCCACATTTGAAATGGACATTATGGAAGAAATGGACATCAAGGAAGAACGAACCCCAGCAAAAAGTTATTGGTATTAAGCCAAAGCTTACTTGTTTATTAGACTAACTAAGCTGCTAAAAAATCATAAAAATAATTATTAATTATACAAAAAAATATCTCGAGTATATCATTTGCGCACAGCGCTAAATATTTCATCTCTATGTTCACGCAATGTTTTGGCCAAACGCTTCACCGTGTCCTCGGCCTTTTCAAAATCTTTGCGCAGCGTCTTGTTAAACGTGTCATATAGCCATGTGGAAGTTTTCGATATGTTGGACTCGTAGTTGGCGAAAACCTTGCTGGTGTGCTCATAGCTGTAAGTGAAGCGAAATTGGACACATGTATATGTATTTGGATTAAAAAGTACGTTATCAGGACTAAGATCCCATTTAAAAAGTTGATAGCTCTTTTTAAAACAGCATTAGTATTTATGAAATACATTATTTTTTTGAACACAATAATTTTAAGTTACCATACGATTTTTATAGTTTTTAAAAATGCAATGTGTTTTATTTTATTTAATGGGATCTACGCTGAAAAATAGAGTTGTACCCACCGCGCTGAATTAGCTATATCCGTAATCAAATAGGTATTGCAATGAGCCACTGCTAGAATTTGTCGATTGCTCATGTATTTTAGTTCCACATGAGGCAGCGCCATCTGCGCACATTCAAGGGATATCAGGGAGGCATGAAACAGGCTGCGACATTCCAGAGCTGCCTGCAGCTTGTACTGCGGATCACTGCATAAAAAGAGTCACTTGAAATGCATTTTTAGGAAGTCTGAAAGGACTTACACGAGCCTTCCCAGTTGGTGCCATTGCTTAAGCGCCTGCGTGGCCGAATTGGCTGCTGCCCTTAATAGCGTGCCACAAATACGCCATTGTTCGAGGGTACTGCCCAGCTTGTCTCGTATATCCCGCGCTGTCTCTAGTTGGGCATCAATACTCTCCTCTAAGCGGCTCATGTAAGTGCCGCCACTAATAAACGCTATAATGCCGTCCTGATTTACGTAGAGTTCGTTGAGTTCCGCGTATCTCTCAATAAGTTTCTTAAGTCGTACTTTCGTGTGTTCAAGCACCTCACTGTAGTAACGAATGCTTAGCAAATAGAGCGCGGATTCACTGAGATTAGCAAAGAAGTCCTCGTGCGTGGAAGCCTTGCGTTCATCACCAATAACACCCAAATTGTGGGCCAACTAAAACAAAAAGGAATGTGAATGAGTTTCATGGGAAATTTTTAGGTTGGAGTCCCTTCTACTTTTAACTTAATTACTTTTAGGCACTTCACAACCAGTGTGGTTTTATAATTGTTGAAATTAGCCTTCAAAGCTTACAAACTTGTAATAATTTGAAGGATTTAGCAAACACATTTGAAAAGCTGAAGACCTGAGATTAATTTCAATAAATTTAATTGCTTAAGGATGCGTTCTGGAGATTTTAAAATTTGATAGTCATGGAAACACCACCCCCTATTGGAACATTTATTTAATTTTATAACCACTCAGTAATGCATATGAAAGAAAAATGACAGCAAAGTGAAAAATTCATGCAAAGTAAAGTACCAGGACAACAGAAATTGTTAAAACAATAATTTTTGCAAAGTTTCAAAAGATACATGAGCTGCCAACATTGAAATTTGTTTTTATTTGCGAGAGTATGTATTTCGAATATTTACTTTTATGTCGTTGTTTAAAGTTAATGAATCAGAATTTATATATTTACACACCTGGACAGAAGAATAGGTGTGAGCAAATTTTTTGTCAAAAAAGTTTGCCTTTCATATGTATTTTAATTTTTCTCAAGATAAGTTAGTTTTAAACATAAACATACTTCAGCGCCAAAACAAATAATCAAACGTTTTACAAACTATAATAAGTAACAGCTTTTGGTTGATTCATAAAAAATGAATGTTTTCGGTTGGTTAGATTAATAGGTGTGCCCAAAAAAAATTTGTAAAAAATATTGAAATTTTGTTATTTATAGATACCAACTTCTAACAAATCTTTAAAGGAACGTTATACCAAACTTTTTGAATATTTTCCCATAGCTGCGTTTTGTTTTGGCAAACCATCTTTGGAATACCTCGTTTATTTCGATATTTCCTACCAAATCCAAGCTTATTTAAGCTTATTCCGTGCCATGGCCCTGTGTTCAAGCGTTAATTACTACCATTCTAAAGTAAATTAGGGAGTATATAGTATTACCACTCCCTGCACCCTCACATACCTGAGCCAGGTCCTTGGTGGGCGTATTAGCAACAATTTCACTGCCCCCTCCTGGGAGCCGCTGTGTGGTGGGCGCTGGCAACGGATAACCATTAAGGGTGAGGGGCTCAGCGTCGTCCTCCGTCTGCGGCTTCTGCTGCAGTAAGCGTTGATTTCGCTGAAGTAGTTGCTCCCGCTGCTCCCGATCCATGCCCTCGAGGCCCAGCATTGCATCACGTTTCGTTTGCAAATGATCAATCCATGCCTCGGCGGTGGCCATTCGTGGACCCGGACAGGTGGCCTCCAACTTGCTGATTTGTTCGTCCAGGCGCACGTATTGCTGCACTATGTTTTGGGCTTTCTGTGGAGGGGGGGAGGGGTGAAGTCATGAGTGGTTGTGGCTATTGATTGCCTGCCCTTGCAATTACCGTGCCACCATTTTGTTGCATTTGCAGAAACATGCCCGTCGCCGTTGTAGGTTCTTCGTTCACACTCTCTGTGTTCATGGACGAACCGCAGCCCATCATTCAATGCCCAGCACCGCACAGTCAAGTTTATGTCTAATTGATGATGGCATTTCAACGCACGCCTTAACACCCATACGCTGAGTAATTAATATTTCACGAGTTTATTGCGCCGTGAGTGCAACCACAGACAAATGAGCGCCACTGTGGCTACAACCGTAACCGTAATCACAACCACAACCGCAACGCTCTCCTGCCAATCGCTGCATGAGCTTTTGTCCAGTTTGTCATAAACGAAAACTAAATTTTGCGCGCAACTATTAAGCCTGCTTTTACATCGGGGCGTTTGTCCTTATTAAGTAAATGTGAGTTGTCCGCCCACACACCACCACACACACACACACACACACACACACACACACACACACACGCCCACATGTTACCGAACGACCACAACAGAAAGTCGAGCTGCTTCTGAATGAGTCAATGCATGGAACCCATCCACCAAAAATTCCTGTTTCAAGAAAACGATGTTGTAGGTTCAAGAAACTGTTACAACTATGCAGTATTGTTGCATACACGCATAATATACAAATATACAATAATAATAAGTATAATAAAGAAATTGAAATCAATTATGTTTTTAATAATTATGCGTTCAGGCGGGCCGGGTTTCCCGTAGTCTTCCTATAATTTTTCTTTGCTTCTTTAATACCCTCCCTTTTTTCTTCCCTTTCTTTGGGATTTCTTTTTAATATGGGAATCTCAATCTCAATTAATAGATTGAAATGAAAATAAATAGCTAAAAAATCCATTGAAACCGATTTGATTCGCTTTTGTTGGCTGGCAATGCAGGCCCATCGGTATTTGTCTGCGAGTGTGTGTGTAAATACTTTTCATTTATTTTTGCTCGCGTGCAGAAGTTTGTCCATTTTATGAATTGGCGTACTAAAGCACAACAACAAAAATATAATGAAGCGCAATAAATACAACTTTTCAACAGCTGCTTAAAGAACACTTAGTATGGCAAGCTATTTGAATATAGGATTTATGAAATATAACATTTAATAGTGGAGTGATTTTAAACCCAACACACTCCAAGTCCATAACTAAAGCTGAGTATTAACAAGTCCTAATTGATTATCCCTGTCTCGTCACCTACACCTCATGCCCATTTCACAAAGCAATCCATCAACACGATTATAATCTAGATTTTGATAAATTACCAGCAAATTAAGGGTCCGTAATAATTTTTGTATGTTGTATATATGTATTTAAAAAAATCCCTGACCAGCAGGGGCTGTGCACGTGTTGCACGGTGGTTAAAATTTCAAGTTACGATACGAAAAAGAAATGGGGGAATAATCATAAAAACAAACGCAATATTTTTAAAAATATTTTTGTACAAAGGTAATGCAATCTGCGCTTGATCTGTAAATAATGCACTCAAACAGGATCCGCATATAGCCTCGGTGGCGCAGTAGGCAGCGCGTAAGTCTCATAATCTTAAGGTCGTGAGTTCGAGCCTCACCCGGGGCATTGTAAATTTTTTAATATTTATTATTATTTTTTACTTAGAGCACTTATAAAACTCGTGGAAACCAAGCAAACAGAGTGGTAAGTGCATAATAATGCTATATGGACAACATATTTGTAACTCGATTGAACTTGTATTAATATAAGTACCAAGCTATGATTTATATTAATATTGCACATAAACACATGACACCACTATAAAAAAATAGAAAAGCACAACAATAGAACTTGGTAAAGAATATATGTATGTACGTTTATTCATGTGATAAGCTTGCAAGACTGACCTACAGTAATTGGAATAAACGAACAAATATTGATCTTGGAACAATAAAAAAGAATAAGAAATTAAATAACACTTAACCACCAAATCTTATAATGATCATTTCGATAGTTTTGACACCTATAAGGCACAGATAGACATTAATTTCTATATACTATACACTATATAAAAATATAATTAAATCAGCTATAGGTGCCTTAACGCTTCTGATAAGTAAATTGGATGAGAAACGCGAATTGCATCTGTTCTATAGAAGATTTTGTTAGACCGGAAATATTATTAATAGTAGTTCGTGTCGCATTTGTAAACAACGACAAAATCGATAAAGACTATACAGATTTTACGAATTCTTAAAACCAACTCAACTCAAAAAATTAATTTAAAATACTTTCCAACTTAATTTTCATACTAATAGGAGGTCTCTAAGGTTATTGAATGTCTTTCAACTAGTTATTAAAAACAGTATGTTATTGTTTTAATTTTGCAGTGTCGCTTCATTTTGTAAGCTCTCCACTTTCATTATCCTTTATCCATTTGTGCCTCCACTGTGCTCCAACTAATTGCTTGTTTGCTCTGCGTTGTAGCCTTCAACGAAATTCCTATGGTTGGGTAGTAGTTGAAGAGTAATTCCCCAGACGCCGAATAGCCCTGATCGTAATGCTTTATGGCTAAATGGCTCGAAAAGCTTGCATACGCACGTGCTACAATATACACAGCTAACTATATTCACACACAAACACGCGTATAAACTAAAGTTCTATTTGTGCCACACAGGGCGTATGGGTAATTTAAAATATGCCGACCAAAATAAATGTGGCCTCGAAAGAGAGGACCCATGAAAATATGCAACTTTTGAATAAATAATGACTTCACTGGCACTGTGGGAAATATTCGCAAGTCGTCATAAATATTTCTAAGCATGTGGCTGCCATCCAAGAAGTGGATGAGAAAAGAGTTGGCAGATAACCTGTTGATAAAAAGCAGACGAAAGAATACGAGAAGCAAAACAAATAATAGCAAAAAGCGGCAAAAAGCTCGAGCGATGGATAGCGCATGCTCAGGCAAATCCTGTGCGACTGGAAAACGGGAAATAAACAGAGCAACAAGCAGGTACGGCGCTGGCCTTCATTCAATATTGAAAGTAGAAACGCCAACACGCTCATGGAATATCGAAAACGACGAAGGCACTGACACCAACACCGACAACGACGACGCCGACGACGACGACGCCGACGGCGACGACGACGCCATAGCCTCCGATGCGGCCGCCATCGCAGTCGACACACGAAACCGCACAAATGTAGCGTACGGCTTACGAGCTTGTGGAAAAATTGTGGATTCAGATTCAGTCGCAACATACGCAGCGTGCTGCAAAGATGCCAGCTGAAAGAAAGTCGGCAAAAGTGTTTTAAAATACGCAAAAAATTTCATAGACGGGTGGGTGGTTCAAACTTATACACACACACACACACACACACACCTTCAAATATATTTAGCTCTTATGTGGCTGTTGTGCGTCGCTGTGGCGTTTTGTATTGCTCAACAATAATAACTAGGAAATTAACGACATGGGCTTGCGCGACGCACTGCGTCAACTGCGTCCGGGTAGCCCCTCGCAGGGCAAGTGCAGCATTGAGCTGCAGAGACGCAGCGCCAGCGAAACGCTCGTCACTCCCGCTCAGGTGACAGAGCAGTCCCTGCAAGTGTGGCGTCAATTGCCAGCGGAAATACGCCATGATCCGAGCATGGCTTCATTTCAAATGGAGAACGAACGCATACATGGTGAGTGAGTGAAGTTGTCATTGAACCAGCACCTCAGCCTAGAAGTAGGCAACACGATTTGGAGCTCTGTTTGTCTAATCAAATATCAATCGGTTGTCGCTTAAGTCGATATAAATATACGCATAAATTGACACCCTAAAGGACGGCTTGACAAAGGTCAGATTATAAAGAGGGCGTTATTTGTCTTTGCACACTTAACTAGGCACACGCTCATGAATTATTTATGCATCGTACACACTCACAGGCTCCAGCGCCGCCAGCGATGATGATGATGAGAGCCGTGCCCAAGAGCTGGAGGATGAGGAGCCCAGTTTCGGGGTCACAGATTTTGTCAATACTCAGAAAAGGCATTGCCGGGACGAGGACAAAAGGTGTGTGTCTTTCTGAATTTCTACATGTCAATCACAATTTGTATCATCTGATTCTCCCCACACTTACAGCACCGATGATGAGGGCACCACTCACTCAGATCACGAGCATACCAATGGGCCGGGCAATGCCAAAACGCTGGCACGTCGCACTCACCACAAATCGAAGCGTTCGAAGGAGCAGCGAAAGCGCGACAAGGTGTGGAAACGCATGGGTTTATTAGTATTTTGGATTTTCGCGGCCGTGGTGCTCATAACGGTGGATGAGAAGCATTTGCTTGAAAAGACATTGGAAGTCCCGCGAGGTACAGAGGGGAAATGTAAGTAGACCACAGTACACATATATTCGTAGTAATACTTTGAAGAACATTTTTAATATAATATTGGGCATCAAGCTAGTCACACAAATGCTTGAAATAGATATGTGCGCTTATATTAAATTGAAAACATAAATGAAAATCTCATTTTGTTAACGTCACCAACTGTTGCAAGATTATTTTAATTAGCATTTATTTTGAGCTGAAATTATCATAATGGCAACCAATTTCAAAGCATACTCGTATGAAACGTTTGTTTTGAAATTAAAATATTGCAAATGTAGGTGCAATTACATTTTATTTATATTTTAAAAGTTCAGCCCGTGATGCGAAAACTAAGAACGACGGCGCAATAATTGAACTTATTTTAATAGATTAACTTTGTCAAAAAATGGCATTCCATCTTAATAGTCTATTTAAGCAAGTACGAGTACACTTAATAGCTTTCGCTTTCGCTTCCACTTTCGTTCAGATTTCAAGCTGCTCAACAAGCCAACTGGCGATTTTCGTTTGAAAATGTATGGCGCTTTCAATGAAACCGCAATCCATGAATTGCTCAGCGGCGACGAGAACGAGACACTGGCGCACAGCTGGCTGACGCTACAGCCCCAGATATCCACTTACGATTACGAGAAACGCAGTCAGGTGTTTAAGGTGAGTAAAACAATAAAAGTCGGCGCATTTTCTGTTTTAAATTTCCCAAATTTTTCCCCCCTCACAGAATGTTTTGTACGCCTGGCAGCTGCCACTGTTGGATGTCGAACATTTGGAAGGCGCTCCGCGTGCCGTGTCTCGTAATCTGACCTACGAAATGACAACGGAGCTCAGCGAGTTGCTGGCGCGCAATGACACAGAGATGCGTCTTCACATCTACAGCAGCGCCGAGACCGACTTGGCCATTGTGCTCAACTATAATCCGTTGATTGTGAGCATGAAGACAGGCAGCATTCTGGCCGCCCTCATTCTGCTCATCTTCTATGCCCTGCTCGTGTGGGAGGTGTTCGAACGACCCTTTGTGGCCATGGTATGCTCCATACTGTCGGTTACTGTGCTGGCCTGTTTCGACGATCGCCCCAATATGGATGAGATTATACAGTGGATGGATATGGAACTGCTTACACTGCTCTTCTGTATGATGCTTTTGATTCTGATACTCACCGAGACGGGCGTCTTTGATTACCTCGCTGTGTTTTGCTTTGAAATATCTGGCGGAAAAATTTGGCCCATGATCTATAGCCTGTGCTTGGTCACGTGCTTGGTATCCAGCGTCCTCGACAACATGACGACGGTGCTGCTCTTGACGCCGGTAGCCATACGTCTTTGTGAGGTAATGCGGCTGGATCCTGTGCCAGTTATTCTAGGCATCATTGTACATGCGAATATTGGAGGGGCTCTGACGCCAATTGGCGATCCCATCAGCATTATCATTAGCACCAATCACTACATATCGGCCAATGTGAGTATATTTGTAATGATGTACTAAAATAGTCTTCCCACTTTGCATCGACTTGTAACAAATTGGAAGAAATTCTTGAAAGGAATTCGATCTGATCTAGTATTCTACTTGAAGTATGTTCCACAAGATTCCTTGGGGTGGTAGCCTATCGAAAAGAAATGCTGGGACATATTCATATAGAAAATGGATCGTACTTAGCTTTTGTGGATACTTACTTATACATTTAACAGGGAACATAAAGAAAGCTAAGCTTGAAGTAAGCACCAATGCAGTGTTCAAAGTACGAGTTTCTTAAATATATTTAAAAGCAAATATCTATGTAGTTACAATTAAGACTTTTTTTGATTTGCTCTTTTACATTAGTAAATTATATATAATATATTACTCTTTTATATAAAGGGCGTCACATTCTTGACCTTCGTGGCACACACACTGCCAGGCGTGGTGCTAGCCGTGTTGCACAGTTGTCTGTATTTGCGACTCTTCTACCACAACATCGACTCACTGCGTCTAAAAGAGCCTAAGGAGCTAAAGGAACTGCGCCGCGAAATCAAAGTGTGGCAGCGGGCCCTAAATGCAATTTCCTCCTACTCTAAGGATTCGGAATTGGTGCGTGGCACTCTAAGTGGCAAGGTCAAGCAATTAAAGCGCACGCTGCGCCGAAAACAGCGGGGCGTTGGCTCCACAGATGCCTATGTCAGCACACTGGAGGAGCTCAAGGAGAAGGTAAGGTGAGGGGGAACAATTTAATGCTCACTAATTTCCTTTGCTTTCAGTATCCCATCAAGAACAAGCAGCTGCTGCTGCAGGCTGCAGGAGCATTGTGCTTTGTCATCGTCTGCTTCTTCATACAATCGGTGCCCCATCTGCGCACCCTGCCTCTGGGCTGGGTCGCCCTCCTCGGAGTGATTCTATTGCTCATCATACTTAATCGGGATGACATGGAGCATCTGATGCATCGTATCGAGTGGACGACACTGCTCTTCTTCGCCGCCATGTTTGTGATGATGGAGTGCGTGGAGCGACTGGGATTGTTCGGCTGCATTGGCGAACTTACAGAGCATGTCATCTTGATTGTGGATAAGCGCCATCGGCTGGCCATGGCCATATTCATGATTTTGTGGACATCGGCGCTAGCCTCTGCCATTTTAGATAGCATACCAGTGGCAGCAATGATGGTCAAATTAGTCACATCGCTGGTAGCCAAGGAATCGTTGGGCTTGCCCCTGGAGCCGCTGGTCTGGGCATTGACTCTGGGAGCTTCATTTGGCGGTGCGTATTGTATATTTTCAAAAGATTTTAATTTATTTATTATATTTATTGTAACTAATATTACTTTCTAAAGCCTCTAAATGAATATCAATACCTAACACATTGCCTATTATCTCTAGAAAGATCTTACGCTGTAAACTACAATTTTTCAATTATTTAAAAAAAATTTTGTTTTTCAGGCAATGGGACTTTGTATGGTGCCTCTGCAAATGTCATATCAGCGGGTATAGCTGAACAGCATGGATATAAGTTATCATTCACGCGCTATCTTAAGACAATCCTCCCAATGATGCTCGGGCAAGTCACTCTGATGACCATCTATTTGCTGGTGGCCCACATTGCCTTTGAATGGCATTAGGCGCTGACAGATTCGCAAGTGCTGTGCATTTTGTGAGCTTATACATAATATACCTACATAAATACCAGAACAGATATAAATTACGATATGCATACTCGTGTTGGAATATTAGTAAAAAGTTTCGTCTGTTTTTACTGCAAAAATTAATTTCTGATGTCTATAAGATCTATATATAATCGACTAATAATATAAGCATTGCTTTCTGTTTTTACAAAAGAGTTAATGGAAATTCAATAAATGATATATATATGTAGTATTTTAAATGTACATACAAGCATAATATGTATTTATGGACGAGTATCTATCTATACGAGTAGAAGACTGAGCGCTCAACCATATGACGACCGTTAGCCACCTTGAACTTGCGTTGTCTTACATTCTCATTTCTGCTTTAGGAAATGTGCGCAAGACTAGGAAATGCGAATCGGAATACACCAATCGGAATAAGTATGTTGACAAACCTAGGATGTACATACATGCTTAGTTGAACTTAATAGTAGGGGTGGAACTTTATTTTATACGCACTTAAAAAGCGAGCAACCATTTTGTAATTATATATAGTTGAGCTGAAAATGAAGAAATACATATACAAAGTATTTCTGTCGATCACCAACTTTTATCTTGAACTATAATGGTTACTTGGCTAGCTGCATGAGATCCCTAAATCTTAGTGCATGTTTTTTGGATAGTTTGCGATTTCTGCTTAGGAAATCAATTGTTCACAGCTGAGTAAGTAGATTCTCCTGATTCTTAGGGATATTTCTGGAATACTAGTATTATATTTATCGTGGAATCTCATCAAGATTTTTATTAAATATTCCTCATGTTGATCGAGTGTCACTTTTGCTTTATCTTGCTATATTCTTCAAGCTAGATTTACTTCGATATTTTGTAATATTTAATTATGCGCTGAAACCCTTGTGCTAGAGTCTGATGTCTTCGAAGAGGTGCTATATTCTTTAGCCAGACTCCCGTTAAAAAGTGAATTGCACAATCCCTCCTAAAGAGACGGTGCAATTTGTGGACAACTACTACTATATATTTCCACAAAAATATTACTTCAACAAATAAACTTTAAATATAATTTATAAAAACTTCTTTCTCTAAGAGATTATTGTCTTTTCCCCGGATCTTTCTTCATTTTTCAATTTTTCAATAGGCGCAGTAAGAGTAATACAAGTACTATGAATTTATTAAAAAATGTGGATGAAAAAAATACAAAAGGTTCTACTTTATAGTATATCCCTCCAAGCAACACTGAAACTATAAAACGGATGCTCCGTAAGAAAATAGCTTTAAAAAAAAAAAAAACTATTGTTAAATATTTAATAATACTGTGACTACAGTTTTCTCCTGATTTATATTGCAAGAATCAGTTCATAATATTTATTGTAATAATATTTATTTAAAATCAAAACTAAATTATATAGATATGGATATTTTTCTTTACGAATTGTTATTTTAGTGATTTAACAATTTTAGATTTTAATATGTAAGCATATGCACTGCAATACCCAATACTTTTCTCACCTAGTGTGCTCAGTATTTGAGAAAACGTTAATAGATTGTGAGTCCTTCGATTTGTGACGCGCGTTCCGGCAAACCGCCAGAAGTCAATAAATGCTCGGAACTATGTACATATATAATCGTAGTATGTAAAAGAAAAATAAACTAAAAGCACACATTCAAGCTGTTAGCGGCCCTGACATAGGGTTTTTATTTATTTGCTTTGCTAGTTTCACATTTTCACGCGCCGAGCTTTCCACGCTTCCACACAATTTTCCAAAACAAATTTTATTTTTAAGTTTTCACTCAAAAAATAAATTTAGACAGCGGCAGTTTTATGGCAACAGCCGCAGCGGCAGCGCCAATTTTGTTAACGCCGGAGGGAAATGGGAATGTGAGAGATCAACAAACGTGAAATTGCAAAACTTGGGCCACGTTGGACTCGCTGACTGCTGAGCGAAATTTAATTAATTTTCTAGACCATTTCAAGAGCCAAAGCAGCAAATGCCATTGATTTCACAGTATCTAGTATAAGATACTGCGTGTGTGTGCTGTTAAGTAAATTAAGTTATGGTAGTGCAAACAGGAGGCTAGAACCAGGCATACAAAAGCTTCAATTTTCCAAAGTGTTCCATGGCCTGAAAGTGTTTGCTTTTATGGGCCTCTTTATTTATTGTGTTTGTTGATGTGCCCCAAAAAGTGTTAATACTCGTAAATTGTGAAAGTGCCCATCAAATCAAGTGAAAATGTCCTCCTATACCTACACCAAGCCCACTTTTATGATCACGGACAATTCGCAAGATCCGTATCACTTGCACGACGAGGACGAGTGCGAAGCGGCTGAGGAGGCAGATCGCCATTCGAAACTACAGGACATTATCAATTGGTTGTACTCCAGACAAAGACATAATTGGTAAGCTACGGAAAAACACTTCCACATGGCGGTTCTCACTCAATCACCCCTGCATCCCGGCCCACAACGTTTTTCATCCAGCTTCTAATTTTGTAAGACAAACAGTTGATTTTTCTTGCTCTTTGTGTTCACTTGTTTATCTTTTGAACTTCCTTCGTGCCGAATTGAAGAAGCAGCACAAAAGGCAAAACTTTCCCTTCTTTTTATTCAGTGTGGGGTGATTGTTTTGTGCCGCTTCGCTGAAATCAATTGGTTTTTTTTTTCGTACATCCCGAAGCAACAAATTGATTTGATTTATTTATGCTGGAGCACAAACATATGGGACAAAATATTTGTGTACAATATACATACTTATAAGTACTTATATGTTGTCATTGGCTCTGGGAATGGGCGCTTCGAGTGGGCGCCTACGTATTAATAGCTATTGGTTACAAGCTATTCCTGGACTAGTTTACAATGTATATATTTTCTATTGAGCAAGTGGCTTGAAGTTTTATTGACCAAAGTCACGATTTTCTAGAGAGCAATTAAACTAGAATTCAAATATTAGCAGCGTTTGGCATGTAACAATAACTAGAAGTGAGGAAAATAGTCCAACGGGTCCACAACGTGTCAAGCACAATAGAAAAAGCTAAAACACTTTATTGCCAAACATTGCGCATTCACAAGATAACAAATATAATGTTTTTACTAGCAAGAATTTTATTGTATACAGTTGAAATCGGCTAAGAGCAATCTTAACTAAAGAGCATGGTTTTTTTTGTCCAGCTCTGTTACATTTTATTTTTAGGTAAACAATTTCTTTAATCTCTATTTAAAATCTACGATTTGACAATTATAAAATGAAAACTTGAAAGATGAACTAAACTCTTGAAGTGTATAAGGTGCTGGCTGCTGTCTAGCAAGTTTATAGCCAGGGTGCTGTCGTGTCGCTAGAAATGCCAATCCGCGAGACATTTTATTGTCTTGGAAATCGTTGCAATGCCCAGGTTCCTGTGAACTCAGGTGTTGCTCATATGGAAGGGTATGCCGCTAAAATTGCGATGACATTTATTCTGAGTTTTGGTTTCAGCATCGGGCCCAGCAGCCTGTACAGCCCTATTTTCTGACATAAATTTATATAAAAAGAAATGTAATTGCATATATACAGTGAGTTTTTGTTGTTGTTAGACTTTATTCTTATTCATGGAATGTTCTCAGCTGCTTCGATTGCCCCATAGTTTGCAGCTATAGGTCCACATTGGTCTTAAGACGAAGTTGTCTAGGGGAACCCCTAGGTAAGTAACATTGTGCGCTTGTGATATTTGTACAGTGTTCAATGTCACTGGCGAACAGTTACTTTGGGGAAGAGTATACATATGCAACTTGCTTGCATTTTTGTTCATTTTCCTTTATGTGCCAGTTAACGAGAAAATTCGGGACGGCTGTAATATAATCTAGCAAAAGTAATGTGGCCTGCTGCAGACATTTGTTTTTATTGTAAAGAGTATTTTATTGTTTCTAAATTTTTAACTCTCACAGCTCAATGACCCTTATTCGAATGAAATTAATCTTAATTGGGCTTTTTACTTTCAAGAGCAGTTTTTCTTGGTCGATTGGGTCAATTTTGTTTTGAGCTGAATCTCATTTCTTCTCATTCTTGAAAAGTACAAGTACAAGAAAATATCTTTTAAAGTGCGATTTTTAAGGGAAATCCAGATTATTCCTTATTCTTGTATATTGATATAATATTTGAACTTGTAAGATATATTGTAGCGGTCTTAAAATTTTTCAGTATTCTTAGCTTAAGCAATATCTACTTTACTTTTCCATTTGCCTGCTTGAAAGTCAGGCAAAGTCAACTGGCAGTGGCCTTAAATAAACAATGGGCCTTGTCGTGTCCAAAGCCCAATAGTTTTCCGTAAGCAAATACGTGACTTTGTGTTGAAGTGAAAAAAGTCGGAATATGATATTAAGATATCTCTTATGCCGACCCTTAATTGACAAAGAGGAAAAACGTTAAATCTAATGACACTTTCCGTCTGTAGCTTAATGACAAAAGAGTAAACAAAGAGCAAACAGCGCACAGGCACTGATTAAAACTAAAATGGAAATTAATGTATTAATGCCCGTTAACTGTTGTCACAGTTGATCTGGCAAATGAGAAATAAAATACACTATTAAATTGCAAGTTCCGCTTAGTTAATTAAGGTACGAGCAATGAGAATCTTACAAAGCTTAATTAGAATCACTTACAGCGCAAAAGCTGCTCAGTCTTTGCATACCTACATACTACAATAGCTTGAAGTGTGAACAATAACATACATAGAAATATATGCACGTTTCATTTATTTATTGTTGCTAACATTAGATTGCGCATACGCCTTGTTCAACCGGTTATGAAATTTGCTTGAGAACAGTTTCAAACAACGTTTGCGCAGGGCTCTCATTAATTATATACAGCAACAATTGCGCATAATTTATAGTACCACATATTTATGCATATATGAATTTTAATTATGGCTTAAACTTATATTGTTTATAGCCAATACCAAGTCACACGTCGGGGGTTTCAGTTCATTTGGCCTTGGCACTGACACTAAAAGTGCTATCCACACACACACACACACACACACACCCTTTAAAGTCGCGTCGGTCTAAGCATGAAAGTTGTTTGGCCATTTGACACACATAATACAACACACACACACACATATATATATATATACAAATATATACAAAAGGGAATATAAAGACCAGACACATACTATACTCGTACGTCCAAACAAATGCACTTACCACGTGATGCCTTTTTAATAGAAAACAGAAAAACAAAAGACAACAAACAACAGCCAAAACAACTCC